TTTATTTATTACATATTATTATAAATTATAGAAAAATAAAGGAAAACAAAAATAAATAATTATTTAATACTTAAAATTCTCTTAAATAAGATTTTGTAATTTAAATTTTTAATATCTTTTAATCATTTAATCTATGATCTAGATATTGAAGAATAAATTCAAAATCTTATAAATTTCTATGAGATATAATAAAAAATATCTTATAAATTATTGTTTTTGAAAAAAATTATAATTAACTAGAGTACACTAAACTATTAATAATTTATATGATATAGAAGGAATAAAATTAACTTTATAGTTCTAAACTTTCATTCAGGAATAAAGACTTTTTATTCATTTTATATTTATATTTAAAATAATATTTAAATCTTTACTAATCGTAATAATTAAATTAAAATTAATATAATTAATTATTTATTTATAAATATAGAGAAATTATAATATACTTTTATATTAGTACCTTTATTTCTATTATTAATTGATTACTTAATATTTATTTATAGAATATAGTAAATATCTTTATTTATAATAAAATTTAAAAAAATGAATTAAAATTTATTAAAAAAAGACCATCAATATAATTATATATAATGATATTATGAGATTAATAATAATAATTTTAGATTTATTTAGCATTTTTATTGATTTTTTTGATTTTTCTGAATTCAAAAGCGGTACTTAGAATTAATTATATATATATATAGTATAATAAAACTTATAAAAAATATATAATTATCCGAATTAAATAATTTATCTTTTTATCGAGACTTATTTTTCTAAAAACTAGAAATGTTTAAATATTTTTAATAAGAATATTATAGAGATTTAATTATTTTATTAATCAAAAAATAAATCATACTACTAAGTATGAGACTCTAACCTCATACATCCTAATACATGACTAGCCTAGGAATCTACTAACCACTATTAAAAACACTATTAATTATTAAATATAAGTTATTATACATACAGAATCTCCTATAAATATTGAAAAAATTATCTTATTAGTATTAAGATTTATTTTAAAAAAAAATATCGAACCTCGAAAGCTCTATTTATAAAAATATAAAAAGGACGATTTTTACTTATATAAAGCGTCGTTTCATATTTTAAAAACTTTCTTAAAGATATTATTTATAAATAATAATAGGAATTTATTAATATTTCTTTTAATTGCATTGATTATATGATTTATAATCTATTTAATACTACTAAAAGACTAATCTATAGAAAAGATTAAAATAATGTTATAATATTTTATAAAATAAATAATAAACTAGTCTTTGTAAGTACTAATATTAAAAGGAATTAAAAACTATATTAAAAGTTTTTCAATAGAATAAAACACTCTAATAAAAGAATTAATTTATAAAAAAACCTTCTAAAAATAAAGATAACTAAAGGATCTCTATAAATAATAAATAATTTATAAAAATCCTAAACACGAACTTATTAATAGATAGAAGAATTTTCTAAGATTAATAATAGAAGAGTTAGGTCTACTATAAACTTTAATTAATATAAATTATTTTAAAACTAAAGTTTTCTAATGAAAATATATTGATAATTATTATTTGTAAAATTTTAATTGATATAATTTTTTATATTAAAATAAACAGTTCTAAAGTTTTTTTAAATATTATAAATCCTTTTTATTTTCTCTAAAATATTTCTAAAAACTTAAACTATCTTAATATAATTAAAAATATTTTTTCAATCTTATAAATAAAACCTATTAATAATTTTTATTTATTTTAGTTAATATTCATCTAAAGAACTAAAATCTAAATTTTTCATTTTAAAAAAGAGAGAAACTCTACTATTAATTCTTAATAAAATTAATAAATTTTATAAATATAGAAATTAATTAGTTTGATTAAAATTTTTAATATTTCTATAGATTACTTATATTAACTTCATAAATTAGTCAGAAATCTTGAAGATTTAGAGTAAGATTCTGTTTTATTAATTCTGAAAATAAAATAATACTTTTTTCAAATTTTTAAGAAATATTTTACTTAATATTAGAAACAGAGCCTAACTTAATAAATTAAATTTAGAAAAATAATAATATTTTATTATTAAAAGATATTACTTTCAATATTGTTTTTATACAATATATTATCTTAAATTACTCTTTAAATTAGACTAAATAGTTTAAGATTTTGAAATTTATAAATATTAAAGGAGCCACCATACCTATAAAAAATATTTTTTCAAAAACCCTCGATTTTAAATAAGATAGAAAAAATTGATAAAAAAAATAAATTTATTAAAATTTTTAAATGATAATAAAATCAACTTTATAATTAAAATAATTTTTTACTGCTTTAACAATTCTAAAATCTAAAATTTTAATTATAAAATAAACTTGTCACGGTGCAACCTCCCAAGCCGTAAGAAGAGGAATACTACTGAGTCTTACCACCAAGCACGTGACCCCAGACATGGTTAAAAGCTACCTGTTCCCTGAACCCCATCTATAGCCTCAAATTATATTTTATCTATTAACCTGTACATAACTTGACCAGTAATTAGTTTAGTATTTAGTTAAAATTTTAATTATTATATTATCTGAATCCTACTTATTTATTAGAACCTACTATCCTATTATTTCTACGTATCTGTATGTTAATATTATGTAATTTTATTTTTAAGATAATAAATTTATAAAATAACTACTATTCCATAATCTTAAATTAATTCTAGTAGACTAGATAAATTAATTTAATATATTTCTAAATATCCTGGAGAATAGTATAATTATTATAAATAAATTTTTATTTTTATTATAAAAGGCGCTGGTAAACAAAACTGCTTATAATAAAATCTTAATATTTAAAATATAATAATTATATATAAGATTTAAAAATTATAAAAATTAATTAATAGCTAGTTAGCGTCCTAACTATAAAAAGAATTATTATTAAAAAAAAGAATTAAGTCTTAGCCAAGTATACTAAAACTATATAAATTATTATATTAACAATTAAGATTTCTATTTTTATTTTAGAATCTATTATTAAGAAATTTATAATTATTTTAATAAAAATAATTATATTAATTAATCTTAAATCTTCCATCTTTACTTTTTTTTAAATAATTATTTAATTCTAATAAATTTAAAAATAATTATTTAGATTTAGGCTGCTTCACCTCTTAAATTAAAATAAAAATAAATATTAATTATAATTATTATATTACTGTCTTTACTTATAAAATTTATATAATTAATTAATTAGATAAGGTTTCTTATATTTAAATTTATTTTTTTACAGAAAATAGTGACTGCACTTTAAATAATTTTATAAATATTTTAAATATATATAAATATATTTTTAAAAAATCTAAAAATATTTAAAATATTCAGTGGAAACTATACTATTTATAATAAAAAACTATAATCTTATTATATATTTTACTAAATTTAAAAAACTTATTTATAAAGCTTACTTGTATTCTAATTTTCTAATAATTACTTTTGAAAATAGTATTAAAAAGAATTTAATATTATACTCTTAAATAATATATTCCTAGAGAAAGATTATTATAATCTAGCCTAGTTCTTACAGAATTTAGATAACTATTAATTAAAATATAAATCTGATCTCTAGAATTATTTATAGAGACTAACTAGTATTTAATATATTATATTTATAACTATTAAAAAGATTCCGTGGAAATCTTCTATAGAAACTTTTAACTAAAGATTAATTATTCTAGACTATAGTTTTATAAATTTATTATTTATTTATTATTTTTTTATACTTTAAAATTACTTAAAGAGAAAAAAAAAGAATATTTCTACTATAATTCTAACTAGTATTTAATCTATAATTACCCTAAATCTAATATTTTAATTTAATAAATTAATTATATATCTTATTTATTTTAATTAAAATAGATCTAGTCTCCTTTCTATTATTAATTATTATTTATATAGGTTGAATCCTCAATAAGAGAAATTCTAAATTTATTTAATATAGAATTCTCTATACTAGTTTTATAATTAAGAATAATAATATTATTAAAATAATTATATTTTCCTAATCTTAATAAATAGTAAAAAAAATTATATTTAATTTAAATTATTACTAGGAAAGTACTGCTCTATATATTTATATTTTTTTAATATTATTATTACAAAGTTTTCTATTAAGAAGAAACTCCGAAGAAATAATTTAATAAATATATTTATTATATTAGATCTTAATAATTAGAGAATTATTATATATATAATATTTAATATTAGATCTTAATAATTAGAGAATTATTATATATATAATATTTAATATTAGTTATTTAATATTATATATTATAAGTAAAAATTAAATAAAAATATATTATTTATTTTTGTATCTCCTGAAGCATCTAAAATCTATTATAAAATTTAATAACTAAAAATATAAAACTAAGATAATTATCCATTATATTTACATAATCTTAAAGATTTATAATTATATAAGAAAAAATATTTAATTTTTAATTATTTAACTAATTTATTTTTTAATTATATTTAATTTATTTTAAAGGTCTAGGATTCCTGAATAAATTTTACCAAGTATATTATTTATTTTATTAATTTATATTATTATGAATATTATAATATATTTATTTATTTAATTAAGATTTATATCTTGCACGATATTTTAGTATATATTTATTTAATATATATTATATTTTTCTTATTTCTAAAGAATTAAAATATATAATTAATCTCTATTATAGCCTGCGCAGCTTATATATACTAAAAGTACTTAATATATATTATTATTATAGACTACATTAATACTGTCTTATAATCTATTTCTAGTACCGGAAATCTTATACTACTAGATAAGTTTAAAAATTTTATAGATATTTTCTTATTTAAAGAAGCAGAGAAGCTTCTCTCTTATTATAATTATAATCATATTATTACTCTGGAAAAGAGGAAGATTTTTTTATTTAATTTTTTATATAATATATCCCGGGATAAGTTATAGACCTTTTATAAATAATTATTTAAGAATTTAAAAAAGAGTTTTATTTATCTGAGCTTATTACCCGCTATTTTATTAGTTTTATTTATTGAAAAACCTAGAGAAGGGCTTAGATTCTATATAAATCATTATATTTCAAATATAATTTTTATTAAAGATTACTATCTATTTTTACTTGTAAAAGAAACCTTGAATAATTAAAAAAAATTATTATATTAAAATTAATATTATTAATATTTTTAATAATATTTAAATTATTAAAAAATAGAAATAATTAATAATATTTTATATTTATTTGAATTTGTATTAATTATTAAAAATATTTTTTAGACTAATAGGAGCCCTAACTATTTTTTATTATTATATTAATAAAATATTCTAAGATTATCTAAATACTTTAATTTATAATTATATTTAAATAAAGTATATAAAGCACGTCCAGTGAATTCTTATAAAACTATATAAAATTAAATTTTGTATTAAAATATTAAAATATAAATTTATTATTCTTGAGACTAAGTTCCTAGATTTAATTATAAATTATAATAGATTTTATATAAATTTAGAAAAATTAAAATTATTATTAAATAATTTATTTTAATTTATGTAAAGACGTACAAGTCTTTCTAAAATTTAATAATTTTTATTATTATTTTATTTATAATTTTTTAAAACTTATTATTTCTCTTATATAATTTATTAAAAAAATACTTTTATTTAAACTTTTATACGCTAAGATATCTTAAACCATTTAAAAAAATATTTATAGAAGTTCTAGTATTTTAGTTATTTAATTAAGCCTAGAAAGTAATATTAAAAATTAATATTTTAGATTATATTTCCACTGGAATCTTATCTTAATATAATAAAAATAAAATATTATACTTTATAATTTTTTCTTTAAAAAATACTCCCTGATTAAATATAATTATAAAATCTATAATAAGAAGTTATTTATAATTATTTATTACTTGAAAAAATAGTATCTTAAACTTAAAAAAATTTTATCTCTAATTTAAATTATTACTAATTATTATAATCTAAAGTATTTTATTTTTAACTAAGCTTCTGTACCATTATTAAACTTGATTATTAAAACTTTTATTTTATTTTAAAATTATATATTATTCTAGGTATTATAAAACTAAGTATAATAATTTAATTAGGAGATTAGAGAATCTTTTAAAAGATAAATAATTATTATATTATAGCTAGACTATACTAAAATAAAGAACTCTAAATTTTATTTATTTATCTAAATTAAAAAGAATCCCAAATTTAAAACAGCTAAGAAAGATTCTAGATTTAATAAATATAAAATATTTTTAAATTTTAAATAATTATATATTTAAACTAAGAATGATCCCAAATCCAGAATTACTAAAAAGAATTTTAAATTTAATAAATATAGAATATTCTTAGATCTTAAATAATTATCTATATAAAAAAAATCTAAGAAAAGGTTTTCCAGGAATACTCTAGTTTTAATAATTTAATTTTAATATAATATTATTTTTAAAAATAAATAAAATTTACTACTACCACCAGAAATTTAAAGTATTTTATAAAAAATATATAAAAAAATAAATAAATATAAAATATATTAAAAATACTAATAATTAATAAAGATTATTATCTAGATACTTTTTTAACTTTTTATAAAAAAAAATTTATTATTTTATAAAAATTATCTCTAGATTCCTGACTATAATAAATTAAAAATTAAATTATTTTAATTAATATATAATAAACTATTCTCCAAATACCCTAAAGAATCTTATATATATAAAATTTTAATTTATGAATATTACTAGCCCAACCTCTACTACTATATGAAATAATAGGTAAAGAATTATTATATTTATTATTCTATTATTTTATTTTAAAAGATTAAATAAAATATTTTAAATTTTTTATTAATTTTCAAATATATTTAATAAAATATATCTATAGACTTTATCACATATTTATTTAAACATTAAAAATATAGTAATACTATATTAATAATTATTAATAGATTTATTAAAATAAAATATTTAATATTTTATAATTTTATTACTAACGCCGCTGGAATAGCTATAATATATATATAATATATATAAAAATTTTATAATCTTTTTTAAATTATAATTTTTAATTAAGGTCTCTAATTTATAACTAAATTTTAGAAATATCTAATTTAATATCTAGATATTATTAGCTAATTATTAATTATTTTCTATTTTAAAACTAATAGTTGGATAGAATAGATAAATACTATATTAGAATAATATGTTTATATTTATATAAAATATTTATAAGATAACTAGAGTATCTAGTTTTTTCTAGCTAAGTTTACTTTAAATATTATATATTTAAATATTATTAAGATTATACTATTTTTTACTAATTATAATTTTTATTTATAAATAAAATTTAAATTTATATCTATCTCCAATCGACCCGCTGTTAAAAATATAAAATAATTTATTATAAAAATATAAATTATTATAAATTTTATAAGAGCTGAGATAGCTACAGTCTAAATTAAATATATAAAATAAGCTAATAAAAAATATTATTCTAACTAGACATTCTAAAAAGATCAAAAAATCTAATTAAATATCTAATTTATTAAAATCCTATAATCTAATAAGAAAATTAAAATATCTTAAATTTTTATTTAATTAAAAAAATTATTAATTTTTATATATACCGCCTGAAATTCCTACTAAATATAAAAATCTATCTAATATTTGATATAAATTTATTCATTTCTATTAATAATAATTTATTATGAAATTAATATTAGTTTTTTTTTTCATATCAAGGTCAACAGACTTGAGAAATAAAAGATTAAAAATATATTAAACTTTTTTTAAGATTACTAGAAATAAGGCTGCCTCTAATTAGTATATTTTATTAAATAAATAAAATATACTAATCTTACTATTAAATCTATAAAATATCTAAAGAATACTCACTAGATTATTAAGAATTTTTATTATTATTATTTATATAAATCCTAATCTTCATCTTACAGGAGGTTAATTTAAAGAAGAAAAGAGTATTATTATAGTATAATTTTTTAAATTAAAAGAAAAGAAATATTATTAAGTCTTACTATTAAACACGTGATTTTAAATATAGTTAAAAATTATTTATTCTTTAAATCCCGTCCGTAGCCTCAAGCTATGTTTTATCTATTAACCTGTATATAACTTGACCAGTAACTAGTTTAATATCTAGTTAGAATCCTAGTTATTACTATTACCCGAACCCTGCTCGCCTGCTAGAACCCACTATCCTACCACCCCTGCCTGCCCGCACCTTGACAAAACTCTATCTTTTATATAAATACAAATCTAATTATTTAACTACTCTACTAATATAATTTAAAAAATAATTTTATTAAAATATCCATAATAAATAACTAAATTTAATGATAAATAAATAATAATTACTTAAGTAATTCAAAATTAATTTAATATTTAATAAAAAATATTTTCTAAAAAACTAGTTTTCTATTATTAATCTTATAGAATATAACTTTTATCTTAGAAAATTATAACTTATAAAATAGAAAATATTAATAAATTATAATAAGAATATTTATTTAATTTATTTTTCTAACTAACACAAATAACAATAAACATAAAATAATATTATTAGATTGATAAAAATTTACTATAAATTATAATTTTATTTTTCAAATTATTATATAATTTTTTAATTAGATTTATTACTAGTTCTACTATTAAGTTATTTAGATTATAATTATATAAATAAATCAAGTACTCTATACTCTTATAAAATTATTAAAATTAGAAAAACTCAAGGCTACTTTTAAAAAATGCTGTTTATAATATTAGAAATAATATTTTATTAATATTATAGTAATTAGGATAGCTAGTTTTAATTAATATCTAAATGAGCTTAATATCAAAGTTTTCTAATGTTTCTATATAAATTAGTCTATATTATTCAAAATAAATAAGGTAAGCTTTGGAGCCACTGGTTTTTTAAATAAAAAAAATTTAAAAATTATTTTATAATTTATAAATATATTAATATTTTTTAATAAATTTTAAATATAATACCTCCCGCCTGAGTTACTAAATATAAAATAAAATTTAGAAGGAAATAATCTAAATTTTATCATCTTTTATAAAATAAGCTTAAGAAAATTTTAAAATAATAAGAAAATATATTATAAATAATTTTAATAAACATTTTAATATATTCAGTACTATATTTTTTATCTTTATAATTTTTATAACTATTAAACTAGAAAAGAATTTATATTTTTATATTAATTATTATAAACTTAATATTATTATTTAAAAAGACTATTAGCTTTTATTTTTAATTAATAAGATTCTTTACTATATTAACTATATTAAAATCTTTATAAGATTTGATATCTACTAAACCTTCTATTAAATCTATATAAATCTTAAATTCAAAGATTTTGAAATTTTTTAAATATAATATAAGATTTATAAATATAAAAAGTTTTTTTTAAATTGATTCAATAAACCTGTAGCCTGTTAATAATTATTTAATAATATATTTATAAATTATTTAAATTATTTTATTTTAATTTATGTAAATAATTTATTTATCTACGGTAATAACAAAATATAAAATCTATATTAAAAATATTTTATAATACTTAGAGAAAGCTTGTCTATAGATTATCATATATAAATATAAGTTTTAGTATTAAATAAAGTAAATATTTCATATTTATTATCTCTATTAATACGATTAAAATTAATATCTAGATTATATTAATAATTATATAAAATATAGATTTTATTTAATTTCTATAATTTTTAAAAGAGATTTATTAAAAAAATATAATTAAGTAATTTAAAATTCTCATATATTTAAAAAAAATTTATTTACATATCAAACTATAAAGGAATATTTTAAATATAAAAAATATTTATACTAATATTAGTTTTTATTATCTACAACCCTACTATCTTTATAAAACTTAAAATAAGTATCATTAATAAAGTTATTATGAAAATATTTCTTGATTAATCAATAATAATTAATACCTAGTAATTTATTTATTTGGTTTATATTATAAGTATTATTGAATATAACTATAATATCTATAATAAAAAATATTAATTATTATTTAATATCTCAAAAATAGCATATAAAGCTTACAGTCCTACAATATGTAAAGTAATTTAGTATTTATACTA